TTGCGCTCAAACACGATTCTAATATCGTGTGGCATTTATATGCTCTCTCTATATGGTGCCAAGGATTGGCACCCCTAAATTAGATGTGACACATCAAGCAAGGTTATTCTACATGTCGGACACATACTTTGGCCCTATAGGAGCATTTTTTTAAGGATTTGTAGGGGTCGATGAAGTTCTTTCCTCCACTGCGACCTAACAGGCCGATTGTGGGACCCCGATAGCTTATAGCCAAACCTTGTAAAGTGCGCTAGTCCTTATAAAACTGAGTGCTTGCCTCGGTGCCACTTCGCAAACCTCCTTTGGTGTGAGTAATGTCCACCGAAGAGGCGGTACCGTAACCCGGCTAATACTTCACATTCACAACAGATATGTGCGATGTCTCCGGTTCCTCTTGACAGAGTAGGCATGTCGATGTCTCTGCTGTGCCTATCTTCTTCAGATGATACTATAAGAAGCAGTGGCCGGTATAATTTTCCTTAAATCTTGCCTTCTGAGAGAGAAGATTTCCTTCGTCTTCTGTTTTCAGAGGTGTTTGTCCAGTATTTGAGTTTTTCTTTTTCAATTCATTTTTTTTCAGTTCCAACTTAAGCACTCACTATGGGGTACTTAGTTGCCGTTCTACCAGGTGTGAAAGGGTTAGCCTTTTTTTCCTGTCCGGGAACGCCCTTTAGAGGTAATCAATCACATGGGTATTACATAAAATCTGTCCAAAAAGGAATCCCTCAAGGATCAGTGTTTGGCCCCTATTTATGGGCGGTGCTCTTCGACGATGCACAAGCTGACCTGAGCGGAGTAGGACTCACACCCGTTGCTTACGTTGACGACCTGGCCATTATCATCCAGGCGGACACGAAGGCACAACTGGAACAAAAGGGCGCGCTCGCCGTGAACGTGCTGGAAAACTGGTGCAAAAAAAAAATAAATTGCAGCTGGCCTCGGAGAAAACGGAGCTCATGTTACTGAAGGGCATCTAAACAGTATTAGATAAGAAATCAGACAAGCCTATACCTCCTCCACCTGAACATCGCGACCGAGCCGCCTCCGCGAGGCCCATCCCGGACGCAGTAAACTAAACTGTGACAAAGAGCTCGCCGATGCGACCGTCTAACAGACAAAGAAATATCATAGCTTCCGTCTATAATGCAAAAAGCTATATAGCAGCGCAAGCCAAGAAGCTGCAAAGAGCCAGATTTGGCTTAGGAGCGGCAAAAACAAAGGCACAGACGGGTGCCTACCTAAAGGTATGTAACTTATTATTATTTCATATTAACAAAAGACTAAGTTTTTGGTGACAGCTATTTGCTTAATAATGAACGCCTGTAGGTTGCAAGATTTCCTAGCTATTGGTATTTATGCGTTTTCAATAATTTTGGTTTGTCTATCATCGCTGGTTTGGCCACTCAAAAGTCGTTCGGAATCTTGTCATCTTCACTGTTGGATCTCATAATGTCTGATCTTGCCTATTACTACTTATAACCCTGACCCATGCTGAGGATAGGTAGGATTGAATCACCGGCATCACGCCACAAACCCCAAAAGGAAATTTCACAATTAATTATAATAATTATATTCGTCGATTTGACGTTCAAGACATTCGGCTCCTTAGATTTTAGATTAGATCGAAATCCGTGATCGTTCTTCTTGCAACTATTCTGGCCGTGATTGAGTAGCCGAAGCAAGAATTTGGCCAGAAAGACAGATTGCGACAGTTTCAAAAGAAGTTTCTCGAGTCATTTATTAAGGTGGCCGGGAATTGTCTTTCTTCCCCTCGTTATCAGACAGTTGAAATTGTAGTAAAAGGATTTATTACGGCCAAAAGAAGGTGGAGAGCGGAAGTGAAAATGGACGGATTGACTTGTTAGAAGTAAATAATACACATCCCGCACTAATTGTTAATAACCTGACAGTAAATTTTAACAAGTAAAATAACTTCAACAAAATCGCTGGCTTTGAGAAACAAAAATAAATTGAGCACAGAAAAAAAGCATAACTGATGTCAGTATATTATCCTAAGCGTTGGAAATTTACCATTTTAGACCGCTTGACTTTGCTTAAAACATTTCAAACTTAAAACTTACAAATCTTACTATTAGTAAAGGCACAAAATGGACTATTGTTAAATATTGAATCATCGTGAAATTTTCCTTGTTCGTCCTCGAGTCGATGAACTGGCCCGTTAATTAATTTTCACTGGTCCGCCTTTTCTCGCTGTATTTCTAGTCAGACGTCCATTGAAGAATGTTTTAAGGCGGAGCGCGACGGCCCCGGGTGTGCTGAGAGAATAGCAGGACCGGGGATAATCAATTTTCCTCGTGAATGGGTTGATTGTGGCATTTAATGAAATTAGACGAATAAAAGATCGAATAGGCTCTAGGGTGGGTTTGAAAGGAACGTAATCGTTTCCATTGACATTTTTCGATTCAGGTGGTGACTTCACCACCGATCGTTCTTGGGTTGCAACACTCTTTAGATTTCGATTGAAATTGTTATTGGAAAAAATATATCAAGTGATTCAAACTTTTTCCAGGATCCGCAAGTAAGAGTTGGCGACATTTTAATTGGCGAGAGGGAGTGTCGGATGACTAAGTTGGATGATTTTCCTAAAGAGCCTTCTCTGGACAGTTAGTTAATCTTTAGAAACCTATTTGGATGTCAAAATATCTTCCATCATAATTTTTTGTATAGAGCTATCTCAATTTATAGAATATATTTTTATAATTTTATATAATAGCATAAATTTTTAAATGTATATAGTGTTTTGTATTTCTCTGTGTTTGTGTTAATTTATTGGAAGGAATGTAATTTATTAGTGTGAAAGGAAGGGGTTGATTATAACCCTGCCCCCAGGAATATCAAGTTCTCTGCGGGAATGAATGTGACCAGGCTTCTATGTTCCTATTGAGTGTTGCATTTGTGTTCATTTATTGTAATGAATGTAATTTATTAGCGCGAAACGAAGGGGTTGCTTATAACTTCGCCCCGAGGAATATTAAGCTCTCTGGGGTGAGTGTGTGACGTCTGGAGAGTAAAAGTAATTTATTAGCGTGAAAGGAAGGGGTTGCTTATAAACCCGCCCCGAGGAATATCGAGTATTCTGGGGTAATTGTGTGACGTCTGGAGAGTAAAAGTAATTTATTAGCGTGAAAGGAAGGGGTTGTATATAAACCCGCCCCGAGGAATATCAAGCTAGCTGGGGTGATTGTGTGATGTTTGGAGAGTAAAAGTGTTATTAGCGAGAATGGAGTGGGTTCAACCCAGTCCCGAGGTACATCGAGTACTCTGGGGGAGAGAATGTGACCTGACATCTATGTTTGTCGTGATATACGTATTGTATGGTTTGTTCCTATTCTATATTTGACAACCTGAAGTACAAACGGGAGAAACATTTTTTGATAAAGACGTGGCACACATTTAAAGCAGAGAGTAAGAAACCAGATCAAGACGATCAAATGGCTGCAGTTTAAAACAAAATACGCGCGAAAGAAGAGAAAAAGAAGGAAAACACGCAGGGCCGGCGATGACCTCAACTGTTTGTCTGCCCATAGACTGCCCACTTTTATATAATTTTAGTAATTTCTACTCTTCGGAACAGCTATGAGAGCTGTGATATCATAATATTATGCACATAACGACCCAGTTTTTTCGGTTATCTACTTTATGTAGACGCTGTTCCGTTTTTAAATCCTTAGAAGAAAAGTCGACTGCGAGGTGTAAACGAACTCGAGTGTGAAGGTTGACACGTACGTGTTGCGTCACGCAAGAAAAATTGGTCAAGACGAGTGGCGGCGCGTTTCGAAAAATTGCGTGACGCAACGCTTTCTCATATGCGGACCGGCGAAATGTTTCAGCCACCATATCGCCAACCCTTACGTTGATCCGATCCGTTTTACCATGAATGAAAACATGGATCTGTTCGATTCACAATCCGCCCAGTCTCGCTCCAGTTTTATTTGATGATCGCATTTCGAAGGTTCAGCCTGCAAAGCTTTATACTAACTTTAGAACTGGAAGGAAGCTCGCTTCTAGCTTACAACCAAGTGTTTGGATTTTTAGAAGTTAAAAATACAGCCATACCAAAACAGGAGTACACAGTCACGTTTGGATGGAAGGGCATTAATTTAAAAGAATAATTTATTTGATGTAGAAATGGAAATTTATACGCGGTGTCATCACAATTCTACGCAAACACTGCCCCTCTGGTCTTCTCTCTTGAACTACTTTTAGCAATATATTTTCTAGCCTATCAATTATGCAACTTTTACAATCAATAAATTTGTATTAAAATGAAGTTTGGTTTTGAATTTTAATACGAGACACAGTGGACTGGAGACAAATATGGTGTTAATATACTTCCAAAGACCTTATTAGGAAAATTTAAGATTTAAATTCCACAAACAGGAAAATAATAATAAAAAATATCTTTCACAAGGCTTTTTTTACTATTATAACAAATAATTTTTAGTCAATATTATGATTTCCTCTTGGGGTCAACGTGCCACCTGTAACTTGGACGGAAACGATCATTTTTGTCCATGTATTCTCATTATGCTTCTTGCCGTCTTCAATATTAGCCTATGTGCTTTTTTCTTTCACTACCACTATTTTTAAATTTTTTGTTTTTGTTTACAAAGGCTCGTAACAGCAAAAGTTATATCAACCCTCGGTGTGACGGTGTTTATGAAGCAAAGCCCATTTGTAAGCATGTCGGGACTTTTACCACATCGTTGCGACCACCGACGCCCCCTGTATTTTCCATTCCAATAATTAGTAGTATTAGTAACTATTATTTTTATAAAACATAGATCCACCAGCGGTGATGGCGAGAAGACGAAGGAGCGAGTATAGGCAGACCAAAATCGCAGTAAACGGCCAAACTACCGTTACATTTACCAGGCTAGAATTATTTTTCGGAAATACTCTACAGAATTACAACATGCAATTAAGCATTTACAGAACTCCCAATCACGTTTTCATAGCCGTTACGTAATCGTACTTACAGACTGCAGGCTGCTGTCTTCACTCACCTGTAACAGAAAGAAATGCCGATGTTAGTGATTGTCTCGAAGGAAATTAGTTGTTGCAGGAAACCGGGTCTTGTTATAAAATCTTGCCCCCTGGGAAGATAACGGTGTCAGTGGGACAAGGACCATAGGCAAAACTTGATTCTGAATCATTCACCCGTCGGTACGATTCCTCCCGATTATAATTTTAAAAAACCATTATATTAATTATTAGGATGATCTGCGGTAAAATCGGCTCTGATGACAACATCGAGGAGGTCTAAGACCGCGTCGAACGTCTTGAAGCTGCTGTAAAAAATGGAAGAGTGTTATAATCGCGACCTCATATACATGCGTAACGCGATTACAATTACTCAACGATTTATTAATCGGAGGCTTATTATGAGGCGATTTTTTTAACTTTCTCATCGCGCTCGAATAATAGAATCCGCCGCAATAAAAAATTCTTCATTGTTCCACAACAGAAATAAGAACGGAAATGTTACGAAGATGGAATATGAAATGATATTTACATTTTCGAACGATTGTACCGTAAGGCGTAGTTAAATACAATTATATGTATTCTGTGCAATGATTTCTACATGGTTTACTGACCTAAAAATAATTTAATATAAGAAATTTTCTCAAGACACCCAGTTTTAGAGAATTTCGGTCAATGTCGATTACGGTTGGTCTATTGACCAAATTACTTCTTTCAATGAATTATTCTTTTCATGTAAGGTTTTGGTTGAAAAGAAAAAGCTAGTGCCACGAACGGGATTCGAACCCACGACCTTCGGCTAAATACGCCGATGCTCTAACCACTTGAGCTATCGTGACTTCGATCCTCCCCGGACACCAACTCCCCATCAAAACCTACAACCTTTCGAATTTTCCCTCCTTTTTGCCATTTTTCAAATCCTGTTGGTGTCCGAGTGGATCGAAGTCACGATAGCTCAAGTGGTAGAGCAGCGGTCGAAGGTCGTGGGTTCGAATCCCCCTCGTGGCACTAGCTTTTTAATTTCAACAAAACCTTACATAAAAATTCACTACTTTTGTGGTCCGCTTGACCAATTAATATCTTACAATTAATTAAGGTTTTCAGTTGAGGGGGTCCTTGCTCTTTCCTGGCAATTGGCAGAGGCGCGAAATCTGCATAAAGCTGGTAAATATCAAAGAAAGGTAATCGGAATTTTCACTGATGATGGTGCTGTTATTTGAAATATGGATACGACAGTGACTATTAGGAAGACTCCCTTTCTATGCAAAGCATTTCCATTCTTTAGACATAGAATTGAAAGCTAAACTAACTTAACCTTATCAGAATTACTTATTTGATTCAGTTTGTACATCTTTTAACAACATTTTACAATTGCAACAATAAAACTAAGTTACAGTTAATTAAGGTTTTTAGTTGAGATAAAAAAGTCAATGGCACGAGCGGGATTCGAACCCACGATCTTCGGCTAGATACGCTGCTGCTCTACCACTTGAGCTATCGTGACCTCGTCTGATAAAAAAGAGGGAAAATTCAAAAGGTGTGGTTGAGATGGGAGGTTGGTGTCCGAGTGGATCGAGGTCACGATAGCTCAAGTGGTAGAGCAGCAGCGTATCAAGCCGAAGATCGTGGGTTCGAATCCCGCTCGTGCCATTGACTTTTTTATCTCAACTGAAAACCTTAATTAATTGTAACTTACATAAAAAGATTAATTAATTAATAGAATATAATATGGTAAAAATTCAGATTAAAAAACACATTGTAGTTATAAAACGTACATGTGAAAAATCAGTCACCGATGAGAAAGCCTGACGTCAACACAAGGGAGCTTATCGTGACGCCAGGATGAAAAGATCCCTCCGATATGATACAACTGGGTCAACTTTGGCATTAAGGGGTTGGCACAGAATTCTAAATAAGCAAAACCACATCAAGTCGCAAACGATTCCCTCCAGAACAGATAAATGAAGGAATAATAAACATCACAACCGTTGTCTAGAGAGAAGCTTCAAATTCTAATTTTTTCTAAACCAAGTTTGATAGAGATATGCGGGTCATTGCCTTATTTTCCCCTAATTTTCTAGACATTACGGTAAAGGAATATTTGTTCAATTAAATCTTTTTCAACATTGACAAAATAATAGAGGCGATTTCACTGGACAAGGGGTTATTTTCTTGTCGGGACAACTGAATTTCTCTCCACCCTTCATCCTTGAGAGACTCCCATAATATATTTCTGATTCACAATATTCCATTTCGCTGACGTGATCGTGCACCTTGAAATAAAAGAAACGCTCGTGGATTAACATATACTAAATATGATTCATATTCAAGATCATTTGATGAAAAAAAATTTGCGATTTTGTTCAGTTAGTCTGATACAATAACAACTACAAAACGGTAAAAAATACGTACTTATTCTTCTGGGTTGTTCGCTTGTTTTAAGACCATTTTAGGCGTTTTTTTCAGAAACTTACAACCATTTCAAAATATCCTTTTGTTATATAAAGGATATTTTGAAATGGTTGTAAGTTTCTGAAAAAAACGCCTAAAATTACGTACTTAGGTTAACCGTAAACGTCTTCGTTTGGATATAAGCTTTAAATCAAAGACTGAAAGACGCTAAAGAATTCCCGACGGATAAAAAAAATATTATGACCTATTTATGAAATGACCATAATCCATTTCTCAACGTTCAATGTGCAATACCACAACCAAAGGTTATGCGGTTCCGTTCATCAGAAACGATTGCGAAGTCCTCAGGAGTGCCCCTAAATTGCAGTTTTCGTCGTGTTAACGGTTTGGTAAATTTGTCGTTTTCACTAAACACTTTAATGATTGAGTGGTTTTCGGGGCTTGTAACGTCTTAAATTGGATTTTTCGGGTCATCGTTAATTTTGACTAATTAGCGAGTATCTACGAAAAACATTACTTAATTTTGAGAAGCGACGTTCTGCTTTTGGAGGCCGTTTGTCGCCAAGGTTTTGTTTGTTGTTCATCACGCGACGTTTTGCCCCGGGTGTCCGCGGAATGGCGCTTTTCCTTGGACACTCTCTCATTTTCTCGTTTTCAACCAGAAGAAGGTCGTAGGACGAACATTCGATTGACAAAGGTCAATAGAGTCAAACGGATGCAATTTTCCGTGATAATAACACTTAAAGTAGTTTGGGAGAATTGCACTATCACGTTCACAAGCCGAGAACCCCCCCACTCGTTCGAACTTTGCTCATCAGAACACTGTGAACTCCAAGCTCTCGATAATTTAAGGGCAAAGTTTGTAATTGAAAAAAGCAGCACTACTTGGCGATTATCAACCGAGGCGATCTCTAAATTTTCCATTAAAACAGCAATTCGATATAAATTTAAACGTAGAAATACTTTGATTGAATATAAAAAATATATTTTGCATTGTATAAATTCACTTTTCCACATCCTAAATGTATTTGTTATATGTAAACAATGTTTGTAAATCCCAGTCCCTGAAGATGATCTCAATAAAGATCGAAACGTTGGCACGATAAAGAAAATGTTTTTCTGAAACCTACATCACACCAGACCGCAACTCACGATTTCTAAATAAATATCGATTAACGGTCACTAATCACCACATATTAACAAGCATGTAAAATACAATCAATANGAAGATGATCTCAATAAAGATCGAAACGTTGGCACGATAAAGAAAATGTTTTTCTGAAACCTACATCACACCAGACCGCATCTCACGATTTCTGAATAATTACAAATTTAAACATTATACATTTTTTTTAAACGCAAAGTTTAAAATACTTTTGCGATTTATAATCGCACTATATCAATTTCATATGAGCTGAACACTGTCCATATTGGAATCTGTTTACATTAAGAACGTTAAAAATCGTAGAGCTCAATATTGTAACATGGTATTCATTATTATTGCTATATAATCTGTGAAAACAAAACATCCTAACAGAAAGAGAGTGAGATTCATTGAAAAATGTTTTATTTATAAATAAATCCTATAAATAAATAAATTAAAGATAGAGTGAGAGGGGAAAAAAGAGTGTTAGAAACACCGAGAGATCAAATGAGCTAAGTAAAAGAAACCTAAAGACAGAGTAAGTGATTATAATAGAATATTATTATGGAATCTAAGGCAGGGATGAGAGAGGAGAGAGAGAGAGAGAGAGAGAGAGAGAGAGAGAGAGAGAGAGAGTGAGGAAGGGAGAGGAGAGGACAGAGAAGCAATAAGACTGAGAGAAACACCAAGATATAAAAATAGATAATTGAAAGAAACAGAAAGAATAAATTATTGAAATAGAATATTATTATAGAATCTGAGGCAGACAGACGAGAAAGAGAGAGAGAGAGGGAGAGCGAGAAAGAGAGAGGGGCTGAGAGAGAAAGAGAGAGAGAGAGAAAGAATATAATGATTGAAAAAAAGATGGTAAACAAACAGACCGTGAGATTAAATAGACAGAACTGGTGTGTTTAAGAGAAACGATCTATTCTATTAAATAAATACAGAGAGAAAGAGAGAGAGTTAGAGAGAAATAGAAAGAGATGGTGGCAGGTAGATTGATAGACGGACAGAAACGTCAAGAGATAAAAAGAGCAAATTAAAAGAAACAGAAAGGCAGAGTAACCGAGCACCAAGTGATAAAAGAATTAAGTAAAGGAAAAAGGGGAGACAGTGCGACAACGGGAACGAGATAAAGTGTAGAAATAGAGATAGATGGAGAGATAGTGATGAAAGAAAGAGATGAGATTAGGTAAACTTAGTTATGTATATGTTCAATTATACGAAAATTAGGAGTTATGCTACAGGACGCTGTTCAACGTACTTAGGAAGAACCACGGCATAATTCGAAATGCACTGGTAATAAAAACAGATGGGATAAAAAAAATTGAATTTAATGATGAATCTTAGATGTATTTGAACTTTAAGATAAATAGCTTTGTTCTCAGATTAGTAAATTGTCAGGATGTTCGTATAAATAAATTTAAAATGTGGATTTTTTATTTGCTTAAGATAAGGAATTATTTT